GACACTTATGTTCTATCTAACTCATGAGCTCTTTTCTGCCTCTGTAATCTTGGACATAATATAACCTCATGAGTTGTCTTAAAGATTGCATAAAGCAAAGTATAGAAAGCCCTATGATGCCTAACACACGGAAGTCACCAGAAAATTCCATATTCTTTGCCCCTGGTGCTACTTGATTAAAGCCATACGCAGTCTGAAAACTTACAAGAGCTTCACAAATCCATTCATGTCCATGATTTTGTAATTGCTGAATCCCCCTTGGGAAAGTTAGCTAAACAGCCCAGGAATAATTTACAAATGCAAAAGTTGAGTGCTAGGAGGACATAGAAAGGGTCAAGGACACTTGCCCTGGACTCCTCCTCGGGAAGAAGCAGGAACCCATCAGGGGGGTGCTGCCATCCTCTGCCTCTTGCCCTGGGCATGGCATCTGTGTTGACTGGTCCTGTTTTTCCATTCACTTACTGTTTGGCAAACTCTATGTCTGGGTGTACTGCCTCTGTCTCTTCCATTTCTCTTCCGTTTATGTTTGACCTGTATTCTATGTAGCACGTCAAAGTATTTTGGATGAAGTGTGTTCTGAGCTCCCTAGGATTTAGGGAAAAGACAACTTTGCTGAAAAAATCATGAAAAATGGAAATTGCTGGGGATCACCATTCAAATCTTCAGACTACCACCTGTATGTTGAGAAAATCAAGTACATCTTTGTTCAAATTTCTGGAGTGTTTTTGAAGTTTTACAAAATAAAGCATTTGGGGTAAATCCCTCATCTTAGATTCTCTTTGATTAGGAAGTAACCTATTTTCTCAACTTTGAAGCTGGTTTAGAACTCATCTGTGTTTTCATTTTCACACTCAATCTGAGTATTTGTGTTTAAAGATAGATGGCAAGACAAAAATTCCACTAAACGAAATTGTGAAATGTTCTCTGGGACTTTACCAGATGTAATAAGATTACTGTACTTTCTCTTCCACAGGATCTTGATCTCACAGAAACACGTATATTCCTACATTAATGTCACTTGGGCATAAGATCAGGGATGGAAAAGTGACAGAGGAAAAATAAACAGTAGGAAACATACAGAGGAACACGTCACAAAATCTTAGCCACAAAGACAAAATAGAAAATCCCTCCCCACATATCCATAGAATTTTGAAACCACCAGAGGGGCTCATATCCAGGAGCTAGTTAACAGTTGTGTCTACAAGTCAGAAACATGAAAATCCCCACTGGCTCTATTTTCCTGGCTTACCCAAGACAATTAGAGGAATCTTGCAAAGCAATATTTTCCCAACAGAGAATGCTAGGAGACTCCTAAAAGATGCAGAGTCCAGCTCTGGAGCCTTCCCAGTTTCTTCAGTTTAACAACTCAGCATTTATTGAGCAACTACTATGTACTGGACTCTGATAACATGCCAGGTAAGGTTAAGATTTTAGACATTTGTGCATGAAACGTCCTTTAAGTGAGAAGAACCTGGAACCATCTGTCCCCTAGCTCTTCACTAGGCTGACTCCCTTTTTTCACTCAGGTCTCAGCTCAAATGCCTTCTTTTCCAATACTTCTCTAACCATTCATTCTAGAGCTGCCTCCAGCCCCCTGCCCCTTCACTTTTTATTTTATTACTCCATTTTAGTTTTATTTCCTTTAAAGATTTATGACAATGTAAAATGATCTTGTATATTCATTTCTTTAATTGTGGAGTTTATGTGCCATCTTCCCAACGAAAATACAAGCTACACGAGAGCTGGGCCTTTCCTGTCTTATCTGTGCACTCACCAGGTGTCTGACACAGAGTATGCAAATGGAGGCAAAAGCAGAGTATATATCTACCAAAGAAGTATCATTCCAATGATACACATGGCTGTTCCCATGTCCACTGGTCCCTCTGAAGCTGACACTATGATTGTTTGGGTGGGGTCACCGACTACTTTGGGAGGACACGAGTTTCTAAGGATCAGTAGCACTAGCCAGGTGATGACTCAGGAAAAAGAGACACCAGGTGGGAGGACAAGCTCATACAAAGGCATGGATGCCAGAAAGAACTTACCAAATTCTCAGGTTTGCAAGTTTTTTGTTGTAACTAAAGCAAGCATTTAAGGGTGAAAACAGGTTAAAAAAATAAGTGAGAGAAGGCACAGGTCAAATACCAAGTGAGACAAACTAAAGTATTGGGGGTATAATTGAGAGATTTTTAAGCAAGGAGACAAAAAATATACTGGTGATGATCAATCAGTGGCTTCTGAGTGAGTGAAACCTAGGTCCAAGTCCCAGTTCCACTACTTACAAGCTATATGACCTGCTACCTGTGCCATCTCTAAAACAGGCATAGAACCCACCACCTCACATGTTTGTTGTGATGCAAAATTATTGTGCCCTGTGCTAGACACATAAAAGTGTGCAATTGCTTTTAACTCTGATGATGATTAGAACAACGTGATTCATTTATACATCTTAGAAAGAGTCTTCTAGAAACAGTGCAGAATAGATGTAATAAGCTTTCAGATTTCATGACCTGAAAAACATTTTTTAAACTTTATTCAGGTAGAGTTAATGCATAATAAACTGCTAATTTAAAGTATACAGTTTGATACAAAAAAAATTAAGAATATTTGGAGACAAATATAGAAGGCTAATTTGTAAAAAAGAAAAAATATTGATGATGACCTACTATCAACTGCTTCAAAAGCAATTATTTTAACACCATAAAAGCAGGAAGAACATTCTCTCCAAAGGGTGAACATTTACATTGGGGGAGAAATTGCTTTATGAAAATTCAGAACATTATTTTTAACACTTTTTCATAGATCTCTGAGAACTCATCGTGCACTGGTGTGTTGGAACCTCTGATATTCGGATTTTATTATGGAGTATGAGCCTAGATGTGGGGAGGCTAACTGGGTGGCAGTTGGTTCCAGGAAAACTTGTGAAGAGATGAACTAAGGTTGTAGGAATGGGGGCAGAAATGTGGGTGATGGTTTAAAAAAACACTAAGAGGGTAGAATCAGTAGGGCTTGGGTATTGAGTGAGGGATTAGGGAAAAGTCAAGGATAGGTCATGGGGAGAAGGAGGCACAACATGGGAGGGGAGGAGGTTTGGTGGAGAAGCACGTGGTGCTTTGGTTGGTAATGAGTTAACTTTGGAGTTGCTGTGAGACATTCCAGAAGAGAGGTCTAACAGGACTGCTGGGATGGATGGAGCTGGAGTCCTGGGAAGCAGTCTATATTTGAGATATAAAAGTGAACACCATCAGTTCAGTAGGGCATTTGAAGCCACTGGAGTAGAGGGTGTGTAGAGCAGAGAGGAGAGCAAAGGTGAGAGAAAGAAGAGCCATTGGTATTCTTTATTCCCTTCCCTCCAGGGAATTTTAATGAGCAGTCAGGCAGAGAAGCACTGTTGGAGGGAGCAGGTAAGATATTAAACTTTGTTAGGAACACCTCATGTTTATAGAGGGATTTAGAGGTTACAAAGTTCTTTTGCATATATAGTTTTTTATTAAATGTTTTCAATCATCCCCTGAGATAGAAAGTATACCTAGGTAAGGAAACAGGATAAAATCAATAATTAAGAATCAGATGTAGTATAGAAGCTAGTGAAAAAGATGGAAAGGAAGCAAAGAGGTAGTTGGAAAACTTGGAAAGAGAGATATTGTAGAAGCAGTTTTTTAAAAAATATAATGATAGTGAGCATTTCTAGAGTGACATGTCTATTAGGCATTGTGCTAAGTGTTTTGCAACTATTTCATTAGGCCCTGACAACAACTCCATGGAGAAGTTACTATTATTAACCATATTTTACACTTGAGATGCTCCCAATTTACACAGATTAAGTAAACTTGCTCACAATGCTATGAGTGGTGGAGTTGGAATCCAATCCCATGAGGTCTGACTCCAGACCTATCCAAGAGCAAGAGAGTGGCCAGTAGTGCCAAGGACTCTGAGAATTGATCGAGGATGACCAGGCTTAAAATGTGTCCATGGCATTTGGCAGTTAAAAATCTTAGCTTAAGAGTTTGAGTGAAGTGTGAGGGACAGAGTGGGTAAGGCTTCCCTATCCACTCATCCATGTGTGGTTGGGATAATTGTGCATCGCACAACTCCAATTATGACAGGAGTCACTCCTCTGGAGCTGTGAGGTATACAACCAGCACAGCCTTATGCAGAGTCCTGAGTGGAGGTTAAATGGATTTTATGGGACATGGTCCCCTATACTTTAAAGAAGCTGATGTTGAGGGAGAAACAAGACGGGGTAAGAGATAGAAAAGAGCACTGAGAAATGAGCCCGTATTTTTGTTTGTTGTTTTAAAATATGGGAGTGATTTGACATATTTTCATAATAAAGAGAAATTTGCCTGGGGTCATCCCAGCTTTTCTGAGGAATTATTTATTTTTTATTTTTTTGTTAATCCTCGCCTGATGATATTTTTCCATTGATTTTTTAGGGAGAGTGGAAGAGAGAGGAAAACATTGATGTGAGAGAGATACACCACTTGGATGCCTCCTACAGGAGCCCCAACCAGGCCCAGGCTGGGGAGGAGCCTGTAACCAAGGTATGTGCTCTTGACCAGAAAGGAACCGGGGACCCTTTGGTCCATAGGCCAACACTCTATCCATTAGGCAACACTGGCTAGGGCTGAGGAATTATTTATAGTGCTCCTTTTCCTTTGACTTTTCCTGGTTAGGACGGCATATTATATGGTCACCCTAAATAGAAGAACTTCGGGACAGGAGAGGCAGAAGAAGTAAGAGAGAGAAGGACAGTGTTTGTTGCAACAAGGTTCTGAGACAGAAGGAGTGGCTCCTAGGCAGGTAAGAGAGCTGAATCTTGGAAGGAGGTTGCTAGGGCTTCCCCTAAAGCAGGAGGGTGATGAGATAAAAATAAGTGTGGAGGCTAATGAGTTAGGGACTGGATACAAATTTGTGAGATATCTTACTTGACTCCTTTTTTGGCCGGTATGGCTCAGTTGGTTGGAGTGCTGTCCCATATACCAGAAGGTGGCAGGTTCAATTCCAGGTCAGGGCACATACCCAGGTTATTCCTTTTCTCTGTGAAGTAAGAGGCCATGAGGTCACAGTTTAGAGTTCAAATTCCATGTTCAATTCACTTTACGTTATTAGCCATGAGGCGAACAACCTTTTCATAAATTCTACAACCTTTGCATAAACATGGTTCCTTTGGTCTCCATAAAAAAGGCAGAAGAATGGAGAAAGATTTGAGCTGAGCATAAACAAATAGCTGAAAACACATGCCTGAAGAGAAGCTGGTTTAGTCCTGTCACTATCACATATGAAAATGTTAGCATAGCAGGAAAATAGTGTGAGACAGACCTACACAAGTAACAGGCGAAGCATCCACAACTGTATCCCACTTCATTATGATAATTATAATAGTAGCTTATTATTGAGAGCTTATTTTGTGCAAGAAAGAGTTTTGTTTTAAATGTGTATATTTTAGTGTAATATTCTAAATATACTCAACTTTTCTGAGGTTTTTTTTTATGAGAAAATTGAGTAAGTCATCCAGTTTTACTCATATAGTAATTTAAATCCAGGGCCCACATTCATAACTAATATGGTATTCCCCTCCCCTTCTCTTTCACTAGAATCTGTTGATTTAAGTTCATTTCAGGTTTTCTCTTTTAAGTCAAAGTTTGTCATTGTGATAAATTAATCATGTCTGAGTCCCCCCACAAAAGATGATACAGTAATCTGATCTGAAAGCTCCTAGCATGGTGGACTAGATGCCCAGGCAAACAGAGCAGTTGGCTCTCTTCCTGCTGTTCCCCTTACGAGACTGTTAGGCAGCTCCCCTGTGAAATCTCTAACAGGCATGCTGGAGAAGGCAACAGCTAACTGGATTATTCAGTTTAGGGAACAAGGCCATGAAATTCAACCATATAGGCAGTTGCCCAATAAGGCCTGGCTTAAGTACTGAATCAGCATCAACAGAAGCCACTCTCCAACTGTGGTGACTTCCCTGTCAATGTGAAACATTGCAAGGCTTCAAGAGCAAGCACAAGGTTTTGGAGAAATCTCTCCTTGATTCCTTATTCGGCTCTTAAATGTTAATATAATGCATAATATGTTTATTGATAAACAGTAAAGTTAGTCCCTTGGTGAATAGAAAAACACAATTTGAACAATGTGAAGTAATGATGGATCAATCAATCAATAAAAAAAACTAGTATAAAAATGACTATGGTGAAGGTTATTAAGGTTGAAGAAACAGAATTTATAGTTCATGCCACAAGATTAGTGTTAAGGAGAATTCTTTTGCCTCCACTTATATAATGCTTATATAATTGTGTGTGGGTTTTTTTTATTTAATTGGGTTGAATTTTATTACTCTGGGTATTCAAATTTTTTTTCTTTCATTGACTAACCCTATTATGGTGAGACAATAAAAACCAAGAATATTGATTGTGTTTTAGGATATCAATTTGATAATACAATATATACAGTGGGGCCTTGATTTATGAGTTTAATTCGTTCTGAGACCGAGCTTGTTAAGGAGCTCGTTAACTCAAATTACTCTATCAACTCAATGCAAAAAATCGGCGGAGAGACAGCTGGTATCTCAAAAAACTCGTTAATCGGAACACTCGTAAGTCAAAGCCCCACTGTATATTTATTTGGGAGATTTGTCATTTTTAAGATAAAATTATGTAATAATTCAACAATTTCATAAAGCCAGTAGGAATAATTCTGTCTTTTTGTTTCTTAGAACATTTTAGATGCAACTCATTCTCATGTACACTTGAAAATTACAGAGAAAAGTGGCTGTTTCTGAAGAAGTTTCTATTTCCTCATTTGTTCAAAAAGAGGGAGATGACATCATGTGTAAATTCCTTCCAGCTTGAGCATTGGCTGATTCAAAAGTGTCAGCAAAAGTGGGGTCAGGTCATGAAGGAAGGCATTATGGGATGCCAGCAAGAGGCAAACACAAAAGTTATTACTTTCCTGATGGCCTATCAATTTAAATTGCACAACGTCCATTGTTGAATATTTGCACACACAAAAATTGCTTAAAACTTGTTACCATTAAAAATATAACTCTTATTTTTTTCAAAAATGAACTCCTTTTCACATAAAAATAGTTTTCTTTTCCATTCCTTAATTTAGTCATGGGAAAACAAATGTGCGAAGCCTTGAATATCATTTTTGTGCTCATGAAACACACTTCTAGATCTGAACATAATAATGAAAGATAATTCCTGACTTTACAGAATCACAGAACTGGGAAAAACTTTAAAAGATTCATCTCTATAATGCACTATTGGCAAGGTTTCTTGGGTGTTATTAATTCACTATGCTAAGCTTTGGGGATACAAAGACCCTTAAAACTCCATGGCCATGACAGCAAGTTTAGATTCTAGAATTTCTATATCATTGATATTACTTTTTACTTTAAAAATAAAAGAGAAAATACATACTGGGTTGAATATATTATGCAGTAGAGTGATTAATAGTCCTCCTTGGTTTTGTAGAAGTTTGTTGGTAGGAGAGGAGATAGTGGGACGAGCTCTGTATTAGGAGTCAGCTTGATCTCCTATTAAACTGGTAGCTGCCTGATCTGTAAAATGAATATTTGGGATTTGATCATCTCCAAGACCCCTGAAGCACTTTTAAATTATCTGAATCTAAGGTTGTACAGATGACAACTAACTCCCAAAATATAGACAAAATATACTGTTGGAATTCAGAGACCGTTTTCCATCCTTCTATCAAAACAAATCTTATCACAACATTCCCCAGTTTAAAACCTTTTAGTGGCTTCCATTTGCTGTCAGAGTAAATCCAAACTAATTTGCAAAACCTAAATTGCAAAGTCCTTAGTGATTGGCCTCTAGTTTCTCTCTCCTGACCTTTTCTTATCCTACTCCTGCCCCACTCCCATGCAGCATTCTGAATTTCAGCCACTTCCCCTCCCTGTACTCTTTCCCTCTAGTCTAGGTTTTGGCCCACCTGTTCTCTCTTCCTGACCATGCCATTGAATTGTGCACCTAAGAACATACAAGATAGTAAATTTTATATTATGCATATTTTACCATAATTTCAAAAATAAAAAATAAATTCACCCATTTAGCATGTTCAAGTCAATGGTTTTCAGTATATTTATAGAATTGTGCAACCATCATCAAAATCTAATTTTAGCCGAAACCGGTTTGGCTCAGTGGATAGAGCATCGGCCTGCGGACTGGGGGGTCCCAGGTTCGATTCCGGTCAAGGGCATGTACCTGGGTTGTGGGCACATCCCCGGTGGGAGATGTGCAGGAGGCAGCTGATCAATGTTTCTAACTCTCTATCTCTCTCTCCCTTCCTCTCTGTAAAAAATCAATAAAATATATTTTTTTAAAAAATCTAATTTTAGAATAATTTCATCCCTCCCCCTCAAACACACACTCACACACACACACACACAACACCCATATAGTCATAGTAGTCACTTGGGGGGAGATATTTGTAACAGGCCATGGTTGTCATGTGATAGTCTTCTGGGACTTGACACTCAGAGACTTAGAAGTGACTTTAGAGATTTAGTTCAACTCCTCAGATAAAAGAATGGAGGCTCAGGGAGGTTGTGTGTTGGCAAAGGTCACACAGCTGATTCGTAAGACCCAGGTCTTTTGATTTCCTGTGAAGTTGCTTTTCCTAATACAAAAATGCTGAGTCATTTGCTTCCTTTAGATTGATGCTGACAATAGATTAATGGGATTAAGAAGATGCTATTGGATTTAGAGATCAAAGGGAACCAAGATGGTGGGTAGTTAAATGCAGGTACCCAACACCTCCCACAACCACATCAAAATTACAACTAAAATACAGAAAACCATCATTCAGAACAGCCTGAATCTGGCTGAATAAAAGTCCTATAACTGGAGAAGTAAATAAAAAAGAACATTGAGACTGGTAGGAAGGGTGAAGGCATTGAACAGGCTGGACCGAAACCAGCCTGTAATGTTTTTATAATCAGGAGTGATTTCTTTGCTGCAGAGATCTTCCATGAGAAGCAAGGGGTCACAGCCACACACCAGATTCCCAGCCCAGTGTCCCAGAGCTGGGAAGAGTAACTTCATGCTGTAAAAAACAGTGGGGATTATGACTGAGTGACACAGAGGGTGCTAGAGACCCAGGCAGTTCCTCTTAAAGGGCCTGTGCACAAACTTACACAGTCTGCTTTCTCTGAGCTCCAGAGTCAGGCAGTGACTTTGGGGGATCCAGGACATACAGGAAGGGATTGGATTGTCTAGCATCAAGGCAGGAAATCGGGGACAGCTTTCTCCCAGATAGGAGTGCTCAAAGAAGTCATTGTTCCTATGCTGGGACCTCACCCATTGCACAGTTGACTGGAAGCCATATATGAGCTTCCATCAATGTGTCCCACACTGTCCCCTCCACCCTGGTGATTCCCTGAGATCCCATCCCATCTAATTTGCAGCCTCACCCTTTGCTGTTTGCAGTGGCTTTTACATATGAATGGCCTGTCCAGGCTCAGGTTTCAGACTTTGCTAAAATCACTCAAACGAGCAGCAGCTGGCATCAACATGCCCCAAACCTATCAAATAAAAGGCCCAAGACCTGGCACTAGCATCAGCCTGCCTTGCTTCACAACTGAGCCTCCCCTGGGCACTTCCAAGCCCAATATAAGTAGCAGCCATCTGCAGATCTCTCTGTAGATCCTGCCAGGTGGCCCCAGGCAGTGGCTGACTTTGCATCTTCCAGAAATCCCAGAGCCAGTGTACCAGTGGGCAGCTTCAGGCCATACTAGATTACAACTCTACACATCCACAAGCTACACACTCGAGGGTCAGACTCAGTGAGCACCACAGCTCCAATGAAGCAAATCCTGCTCCATAGGGATGTCTCCTACACAGCATGTGTGCAGCTATTTCACTGTAGTCACAGCTGATCCTCATAGCTAATTTGCCTGGAGTCAATTCCTCCCAGCAACACCAATAGCAATCAACTACATCAAGACTGTGCACACAACCCAGGTGACTGGGAAGCTGAGCCACTAGAGTCTAGACCAGGGATGGGCAAACTTTTTGACTCGAGGGCCACAATGGGTTCTTAAACTGGACCAGAGGGCTGGAACAAAAGCATGGATGGAGTGTTTGTGTGAACTAATATAAATTCAAAGTAAACATCATTACATAAAAGGGTACGGTCTTTTTTTTTTTTTTAGTTTTATTCATTTCAAACGGGCCAGATCCGGCCCGCAGGCCATAGTTTGGCCACGGCTGGTCTAGACCCTACAGGACACCTACTACACAAGGCCACTCTACCAATTCCAGGAGACATAGCAACTCTACCTAAGGCATAGAAACAAACACAGGGTAGCAGCCAAAATGAGGAGACAAAGAAACATGTCACAACTGAAAGAAATGAGTGCAAGCAATCTACTGGATACAGAGCTCAAAACAATGGTCATAAGGTTATTCAAGGGACTTAATGAGAGCTAAATTAAGTCATTAATTTATCTCTTAATTTATGACCAGATAAAATGGTCATAAGGCTATTCAAGGGACTTAGTGAGACTTTTGAGGATCTTAGTGTGAATTTCAAAGACATGAAAAAGGGTCAGAAATTAAGCATACACTAACTGAAATAAAGAATAATTTACAGGGAATCAACGGTAGAGTAGAGGATTATAAGAATCAAATCAATGATTTGGAATATGCAGAAGCAAAAACACACCCAATCAGTCCTAGCTGGTTTAGCTCAGTGGATAGAGCGTTGACCTGCAGACTGAAGGGTCCTGGGTTCAGTTCTGGTCAAGGGCACATGCCCAGCTTGTGGGCTCGATCCCCAGTGGAGGGCATGCAGGAGGCAGCTGATCAATGATTCTCTCTCATCATTGATGTTTCTATCTCTCCCTTCCCTTTGAAATCAATAAAAATATATTAAAAAGTAAAACACCCAATCAGAAGAGCAAAAAGAAAAAGAATCCAAAAATATGAAGGTAGTGTAAGGAGCCTCTGGGACAACTTTAAGTGTACCAACATTCGCATTATGTTGGTGCCAGAAGGAGAGGGGAGAGAGCAGGATATTGAAAACCTACTTGAAGAAATAATGACAGAAAATTTCCCCTACCTGGTGAAAGAAATAAACTTACAAGTCCAGGAAGCACAGAGAGTCCCAAACAAGTGGAACCCAAAGAGGCCCACACCAAGACAAATCACAATTAAAATGCCAACGTTTAAAAACAAAGAGAGAATCTTAAAAGCAGCACAAAGAAAGCAGTTAGTTACCTAAAAGGGAATGCCCATACAACTATCAGCTGATTTCTCAGCAGAAACTTTGCAGGCCAGAAGGGATTGGCAAGAAATATTCAAAGTGATGAATAGCAAGGACCTACAACCAAGATTACTCAATCCAGAAAAGCTATCTATAATAATAAAAGCATAATATGCAAATTGACCGAAAGGCCGAACAGTGAAATGACCATCTGAATGACCACGCTATTACACCCACTGGCGCCAGGCCAGCCAAGGTGGTGTGATGTGATTGGTTGGGGACCCCACCATCACCCCATGATTGCCCCACAGCGGGAGGCCCAGGCCACTGACCGGCAGGCTGTGATGAGTGGGCAGGGCCTCCCTCTGTAGAGCGCGATCAATTGCCCCAATGAGGGAGGCCCAGGCTACCCAGCAGCAGCACTGTGGCAGGTAGGAGGGGCCTCCCTCTTTGGGGTGACCCATCGCGGAGCCCCGGTGTGGGCAGGGGCTCCCAGACTGTGAGAGGGTACAGGCCGGGCTGAGGTTCCCCCCCCCCAGTGCACAAATTTTGTGCACTGGGCCTCTAGTCATTTATAATTGAAGGCCAGATAAAGCCCTTCGCAGACAAGAAAAAGCTAAAGAAGTTCATCACCACCAAATCAGTATTATATGAAATGTTAAAGGGTATTCTTCAAGAAGAGGAAAAAAAGAAGAAAAAAAGTTTAAAAATATGAACAATAAAATGGCAATAAATACATATCTATCAACAATTGAATCTAAAAATAAAAATAAATAGATAAGAAATGTAATGAACAATATAAACTGATAGATAAAATAGAATCAGAGTCATGGAAACTTGGAACAGACTGACAAATCTCAGAAGGAAGGGAGATCTAGAGGAGATTAACCAATGATCTTATATGCATATATGCATTACCTAATGACACAGACAATATGGTGGTGAAGGCCTGGGGTAGGGTGGGAACTGGGTAGAGAGGGGCAATGTGGGGAATAAAAGGGGACATCTGTAATACTCTCAACAATAAAGATTTAAAAAAGAAAGAAGATGCTACTCTTCCCTGCTGTGGACAACTGTGCTCTTTCTGCAGCCTCCTGGCTCACCCATTTGAGTCTGGAGGCAGAGAGTAAAGATAAGAGAATCTACATTGTGTTCAGTAATGCTCTCATGCCCTAATTCAGTGAATGAATAGTTACAATAAGTTTTACTGAGAAAAATGTCTCAGCCATTTTATAAGAGTGATTGGAAACACAGCTAGGTACAGTGACTTTACTTTTGAAAAATGTGGTCTCTTCTAGTAGTGCACAGGTAGCTGGCAGCAAACAGCAACATCTTGTTGGAAATGTCAAGGTCTTGGGCTCCCTTGGAGGTTGTTACACCGTGCTGCCGAGTGGCCCTTGGAAAGCCACAAAAGAGGTGTGAATTGAAGCTTGCATAAGTCCTGCCATGTTATGCTCCTTGCCTTCCTACTTACAGTAGCATGGAGGCCCAACAAACCTCGGCCAGGGCAGTCATTGGATGAAAGTTGGTGTGAGGGGTAGGTTGGGGACTAACTTTGCAAGCAAGAGCCTTCTAACTGTGTTCCAATATTCTTTCTGAACTCATTGGTCAATGGAAGCATTTTCAACTGTCCTTATTTCTGGAGGACTGGGAAGGGGGCTCTTTGCTTGCTAAACATGGTGAATGAGGAACCAAGTACCAAGGCCATGGAAAGTCATGCAGCTAGAGACTCAGAAATGTTTAGACAAAGTCCTGAAGCCTAATTGTGGTGTGATTGGGTCTTTATTTCCTCTGTCCTTTGGTTTCTCTGGGTATTTGCTCTATCCTCTAGCCTGGTTACCAACCTAACTCACCATAGAATGAGGTAGGCTGGAGGAGTACTTGGAACTTACCAGGCTACTTAAGAGGCAGGCACTCTACATGTCCTGTGAGTTTCTATCCTGATGAGACAAACCTGATTGGTTGCTATGGGGAATGACAAGCTGTCAGACAGTGAGTTCCCTGTGCACAGTGCCTGGATTATCCATTTTTAAACTCCTGATGCCTAGCAGTGCCTGGCACAGTTGTTTGCTGAATGAAGGAGTAGAAACACTTCATACCAAATGATGCATTATTACTTACAAAGTAATCTATTTTCCCAGCATGAACTCATTCTACTTTAAAAGTGGAAGGTAGGCAAGACTGTCTTACAGATGAGATCACATAGCTATAGGTTGGAGAGGTGGCTTTCAGACTCTAAGTCTGCTGGCATTTTTACACATGTGTGTTATTGAGACTGACCTTCCTAAAATATGCGGCCAAAGCACTAAGAGAGATATGAATATGGATTCAGAGAGACATTTGTGTTTTCTGCATTTTGTTCCTAAATCTGGGGTAGACATATTCTTCATGTGTCTCTTGACTAATGGTATTATTTGGTGCTATTTGTTAATCACTGCAGGTATATAGGTTTTCAATTACATTTTGAGTTAAATAGAATTTAGAGGCTGGCCTGGTAAACTAGTGAATCCTCGCTTAGTCTGTAGTAGCTATTTCCTGATGTAGCTTTGGCACTATTCACTATTACAGTTTTTGGTAATTTCAATTAATTAGATTGTAGATCTATGGCCCTGGGTCTTCAAGAAACACATGTTCAAACATTTTCCCTGCTTAATAAGATCCATGTTCCTGTTGAACTTGTAGGGCCGCATTGGAAATCAATGATTGCCTCTGATCTTCCAAATGTAATGTTGAGACTCAGGAAATCACTACACAAAATGCTTTCAGATTGCAGGATGTGGAGAGCTCTCTGTCATTAAAACAAATGATTCTGCTTAGAAGTAAACCATATTTTAAATCTGTATGTATATTGTACATGAGGGAACTTCTCTGTACAGAATTATCTCTCCCCGCACCCCACGCCCACCCCCCCCCCCCCCCCCCCCCGCCCCCCACAATAATTCTCCAGGTCACACCTAACTTCTGGGTCACAGCTTGGCAAAAGCTAGCTTTCCTTTCCTAGCAACTGTTACTAGGAGGGGCGTGGCTTCGAAGTCGGGCGAGGGGGACTACCCTTCCCGTGATGCTCCAGGGTGGCCTCCGTCGTGACGCACTCGGTGTCCGCGAGGGGGACGGGGGCGGCGGCCGCTAGTGGGGGGCGAGCTCCCGGAGTCCCCGACTCGCGTTCAGGCAGCTGCAGCCGCCATGTTGGCTTGAGGGGCGATGACAGGAGGTGGCTGCGGCGTCTGGCACTGAGAAGTGGAAGTGAGACAAAGCTCTGAGAGGAAGCCGTTCCGGACTGAGGAGAGGGAGGACCGGCCTCTTCCGGGGACCGGCTGCAGTCGGTGTCGCGGGACCTCGCGAGGCCGGGGAGGGGAGGGGAGGCCGGTGAGG